TAGCGTGTGCAAAATAGCAAGAACAAGGGCCTAGCGTGTGCAAAATAAAAAGAACAAGGGCCTAGCGTGTGCAAATAAAAAGAACAAGGGCCTAGCGTGTGCAAAATTGAAAGAACAAGGGCTAGCGTGTGCAAAATTGCAAGAACAAGGGCCTAGGTTGTGCAAAATAAAAAGAACAAGGGCCTAGCGTAGCAAAATAAAAAGAACAAGCATAGCTAGTACAAATAAAAAGAACAAAGGCCTAGCGAGTGCAAAATAGCAACAGCAAGGGCCTAGCATGTGCAAAAAATCAAGAACAAGGGCCTAGCGTTCAAAATAGCAAGAGCAAGGGCCTAGCGTGTGCAAAATAAAAAGAACAAGGGTCTGAGAAAGTACGAACGAGAAGTGAATGACTATGAAAGAAGTGAGTACAAATAGGAAACCCTAATTGGGTTGTACCCCCTATGGGATACCCCACTATAGCCTACAGAAACAAGTAAGCTATAAGTTCTGACACACCCCCATAGGCAAAGTGGGGGAGAACAAGGGGTCACAAGACCAGTCAAGCAAAGCAAAGCAAAGCTCAGGGTGGATCACAAAGTCACCACGCATTCCGAGCACAAGTTCAAAGGCCACAAGGCCAGTTCACATGCAAGATCATATATAGAGATATACAAGAGCAAGAGTATATATATGCGAAAGTACAAGCAAGGTCAAGAGGAGAGCAAGTGAGGCAAGACAGGCACAAGACCCAACTGCGTGCAGCAACGCTGATGATCACAAGGCGCAAGTGCCTTGGTGAAGACATCAGCAGTGTTGGCCTCAGAGGCCACGTACGCAAGTCGCAGCTGTCCACGCTGCTGTAGCTCACGAGCAAGAAAGTAGCGAAGAGCAATGTGCTTCGTTCTGTGCTCCAGTCGCTGCTCTCGACACAAGGCCAGCATGGCCTTGTTGTCTACGTACAGGACTGGAGGAGAACGAGGCTGCTCTCCAAGGTCGGTCAGCAGGTAGGTGAGCCAGCGTAACTCCTGTGCAGCCATAGCCCCAGCGTAGATCTCAGCCTCACAACTGGAGCCGAGAACAGAAGACGAGCGGGTAGCCCGCCACGAGACAGAGCCGGAACCAAGGCTGAAGGTGTAACCCTGTGACGACCGCTGCGTAGCCTGGTCGTCAGCCCAAGAAGCGTCTGCGTGCCCAGTGAGGACCACTGGACTGCGCCCTCCAAGCACTAGCCCCATGCCCGACGTACTGCACAAGTAGCGCAACACCCTCTTCGCTGCAGCCATGTGCTCTGGTCGGTGTCTCCCAGGAGCAACAAAGCGTGCGAGAATGCTAAGAGGGTATGCGAGGTCAGGTCGTGTGCAGGTCATCAGGTACATGAGGCAGCCAACAAGCTCTGCAAACGGGCCACTCGACTCTACGGACTCATCCGAAGGCAGAGCTGAGAGCGAGTGGCGAGTAGGCAGAGGAGTGGCCTGAGGCGAGGAGTACGTGAAGCCGAAGCGCTGAAGGACCTGCTGCACCATGTGTGACTGAGTCAGGGTAATGGTGCGGCGTGCTCTGTCCCGGGTGATCTGCAAGCCAAGGTAGCTGCGCAGTTCACCCAGGTCAGTGCACGTGTGTCTCTTCTGCAGCTCGGACTTCACGTAGGCGAGTCCAGCAGTGTCAGCTGTGGCAAAGACCAAGTCGTCGACGTACACGAGGATGTAGAACGGCGGCAGAGAGGTGTCGGTGCGCAGAAACAGCGACGGGTCGGCAGTGGAAGGAGCAAACCCAAGTGCCGCGAGCGTAGTCCTCAGTGTGTCGTGCCACTCACGTGGCGCCTGGCGGAGACCGTAGACTGGACGCCGGAGACTCCACTGGGTACCAGGAGGGAAAGACCCAGTGAAGCCAGGTGGGCGACGCAGCCAGATCTCCTCGTGCAGGCTGCCCTGCAAGAAAGCTGTGCTGAAGTCGAGAGAGTGCAGCTCGTAGTCACGGTGAGCAGCAACGTGTAGCAGAACCCGAAGAGTGGTCATCTTCGGGGTGGGGGAGAAGGTCTGAAAGTAGTCAACCCCCTGCCGCTGACTGAAGCCACGAGCCACGTAACGCGCCTTGAAGACAGGCGGAGAACCCGGCGGCCGCTTCACCCTGAAAATCCACATGCCACTGACGATGTTCGCCCCAGGAGGGGGAACAGCGTCAACGTAGGTGCCTGTGGACTTCCAGGAAGCCATCTCTGCATCCATAGCTGCCTGCCACTGAGAGGAGTAGGGACCCTCTATCGCCTCCGCGTAAGAGCGCGGAGTCGGGATGTCTGGTGCATCCGGGTCTCCCTCAGGGGCTAGCAGTACAGACGCGAGACGAGGTGAAGCGGCGGCCAGACACTGGAACTCCTCCTGCCTGTCCTCAAGGACGTCCGTGCCAAGGGCACACTCACCCCCGACGGACGGAGGACAGGCGGACTCAGACTCAGTGACAAGACGAGCAGCGTAGTCTAGACGACAGCGCGCAGCAAAGTCGACAAGCTCAGTGACAAGGGCAGACGCAGCAGACGACTCGAAGGAGGGGTCAGTGACAGCAGTAGCCAGGAGACGCGTGACAGTAGGACTGGCAGCACGAAGAGCGTCCGACTCCGGGTCGGCAAGAGCAGGAAGAGAGGAAGCAGGAGGAGAAGGCAAAGGGGCACGCAGAGGAGCAGTGGACGGACGCAGTGACATCCGGTGCGTGCCAGGGACAGGAGGAGGACGCTGACGCGACCCGCGACCACTAGCGCGCTCAGTACGAACAGGCGACACAGGACGAGACGCAGGCTCACGACGCTCAGTAAGACCTCCAGTCGGACCAGCGTAGGGAGAAGGAGCAGGCAAAGGGGAGGCAGGCTGTAGCTGTGGCTGTGACCGGACAGGCTGCGGACCCTCTAAGGGAGGAGGAGGAGGTGTAAGACCAAGAACCTGCTGCAGGAGCGGAACGAAGTACGGTCGGGGCCGCGCGGCGACGCTAGAAACAGCAGGAACAGCACCAGCAGCCCCGGCAGGAGCACCCACTCCAGCAGCACCTCCAGCAGCACCACCAGAAGCTCCAGAACCTCCAGCCGCAGCACCAGGAGCACTGTCAGTCGACCGCCAACGGCAGGCTCAGCGCCAACACCCTCAGCAGGACCAGCTCCAGGAGAACTCTCAGACTCAGCAGCTCCAGCACCCACAGTACGAGCACCGGCGGGGCGCGCAGCAGCAGTGCCCTCTGCAGCCGAAGAACCACCAGCACCAGCAGCACGCCTCCAGCGCCCGGCAAACCACTCACGCAGCTCCTGTGGGGAGAGTGGCTCCCGGCGAGACGAAGCACCCCCAGGCACAGCACCTCCAGGCTCAGCACCCCTAGACACAGCACCCCCAGGCTCGGCACCCCCAGGCTCAGCACCCCCAGGCACAGCACCCCCAGGCTCAGCACCCCCAGGCTCAGCACCCCCAGACTCAGCACCCCCAGGCTCAGCACCCCCAGACTCCGCACCCCCAGGCTCAGCTCCCGCAGCAGCACCAGAGTCACCAGTGACCTCGACAGGCTCGACCGCGTCTACCTGGGACACACCTGAAGGGGCAGGACCCTGAGGGGGGAGGGGGACTACCGGGGGGGGACCTGGTACCAAGAAGAGCGGGGGTGGGGGGAGGGACGGAGTGCGGTAGGGGAAGAGGCGGTAGTAGGGTACCGACTCGTCGAACGTGACGTCCTGGGAGGACAGAACACGTCGAGAGGTGGGGTGGTAAAACTGCCACCCAGGGGCGTCGGGGGGGAACCCCAGGAAGACGCAGGGAGAAGCACGAGGGGACAGCTTGTCCGCAGACAGGTCGCGAACAAACGCCCGAGATCCCCAGACCCGGAACGCCGACGCATCGCCAACCTTCCCCGTCCACAGCAGGGCTGGGGAGGTCTCCGGTCGAGAGACCCTGGGGTGGAGGTTGATCTGGTGCGCAGCGTACCTGACCGCAAACGGCCACAGAAAATGGGGAGCAGCCGCATGCATCATGGACGTACGAGCGACGTCCATGACCATGCCAATGCGGCGCTCAGCAATCCCATTCTGCTGCGGTGAGTCCGGAAGCGTGAAGGTCTGACGGATGCCTCGCACACGACAGTAGGCACTCAGGAGGCCAGAGGAGAACTCTCCGCCTCTGTCCGAGTGCAGACGCAAAACAGGGAAGTCAGAGCCAAAGCTCCTCCGAAGCTGGAGACGAGCTGCGCGGATCCAGTCGATCAACACCTCAGTGACCTCACCCTTGCTGCGCAAGGGGAAGACTGTGGTGTAACGCGAGTAGTCGTCAACCACCAGCAGGAAGTAGCGCTCCTGACCCTGTCCACGGACGCGGGCTGGGCCCCACACGTCCATGTGAAGCGTCTGCAACGGGGCCTCTGTCGGAGGAAACTGGGAGGAGTGAGGGGCAGCACGCTGGCGCCCCTCGACACAGGGGACACAGGTGGGGCCAGGGCCCGGAGGAAGGGGAGGGAGAGACCGGGGAAGACCAGACACAAGGACTCGCGAGGCCATGCCTCTGAGCCGAAGCAGAGAGGGGTGGCCAAGGCGGTGGTGCCAGAGGAGGGTCTCGTGAGACAGACGACGACACGAGCAGGGGGCAGACTCAGGACCAGACCTGGACGCTGCAGCAAACACCTGACCAGACGAAGGGACCCTACCAGACTCAGCACCTGGAGGAGAAGCAGTGGTCAGTGTGTACAGGCTCGACCCTGGCCGACGTGTAAACGTAGCCAGGTGGCGACCTGTATCCGCCTCCGTGCAGTGGGTCACCCGCTGACGAGCAGGGGTGAACTGGTGGACACCCGCATCCTGGAGGTCAGCACCACTCACCAAGTTCGTCGAGAACGAGGGGAGGTAGAGACCAGTCAGGGTGCCAGAGGGGGCCGCCGGACACGGGAGGACAGTGGAGAAGCGAGCAGGACAGGCCCCCCAGAGGGGTCAGCCAGGGACACCGCAACCGGCCGACTCAGCGGCGTGAGAGTGGTGCGGTCCCTAAAGAAGGAGCGAGACGCTCCAGAGTCAAGGGTGAAGGTGTGAGAGGCCGAAGCCGACACAGTACCTGAGAGGGCAGACTCACCAGCACCTGAGAGCACAGACGCACTGGCACCTAGAGCAGCAGCCTCACTAGTACCTGACGCGGCAGTACCAATGCCCGGGTCGGGCGGGAAACACCGTAACAGTCATCCTCATCACTACCAGTCACAGCATACATAGCAGAGAGAATAGCATCAAAGTCAAGATCATAAATAGCTACACCAGCCCTAGACAGCTCTCCCCAGCGGGGGATCTCAGCGGCCTCCGGAAACTGCTGACGCCAGGCGTCGGTCAGGCGGCCAAAGCAGCGACGGGCTGTGTGGGCGCCTCCACACCTCTCCCCCGCACGGTCACCGGTGCGAAGAACGTAGGGGCAGGGACCAAGCGCACCACCGCGCTGACGCTGCAAGTACCACTCACGGAGCTGCTGAGGGCCGGGGACGGTGCGAGAGCGCTGCTGCTGCTGCGGCTGCTGCTGCTGCTGCTGCTGCTGCTGCTGCTGCGCTGACCACCCCCAGAGCTGCTCCGCTGGGACGAGCCACTCCGACCCCCGCCTCCACCACCACCCCCGCCTCCACCGCCACCCCCGTCTCCACCGCCACCTCCCCCACCAGGACCGTCGCTCCCACCGCTCCCACCGCCTCCTCCGCTACCACCTCCGCCGCCACCTCCGCCTCCACCGCCGCCACTAGTACCTCCACTCCCGCCACCACCTCCACCGCCACCCCCACTCCCCCCGCCACCCCCACCGCCTCCTCCACCGCCTCCTCTAGCTCCACCCGCTCCCTTGCCCCCCTTGCCCTTGCCAGAGCGGCGTCTGCCGCTGGGGGCAGACGCCGCGCCGACCGACTCAAAACCAGCGAGGTCGGCCGTAGCGGCAGAGGCGACAGAGGGCAGCAGGGGGGAAGGAGAACACCCCTCAAAGATGGGGGTGCGAGGGTCACCCCGAGAGGCCCCTACAGCGACAATACTCTTCTCAGCCGCTAGCAGGGACTCCTCAAGGAGGTCGACAGTGAGGGTGGTGGGACAGACAGAGAGAAACTGGTCCCTAACGACACGAAGGGACTCAGGAAGACGGGTGACGAGAAAGTAGAGAGTGATATACATGGGAGGAGGGTTTGCGGCGCGGAACTCAGCAGGAAGGGCAGCGCGGTAGCGAGCGTCACTAGCGCGGAGGTGGGTAACGAGGTCAGCGACAGTGGGAAAGGAAGCGAGGTCAGGGAAGAGAAACGGTAGCATGAGGCGGCTAAGGGTAGCGGAGGAAGGGGAGGAGTAGCGTGCAACTACAGCGTCGTACAAGGCCTGAGCGGTCTTGCACTGACTAAAGTGGGCACGCTCAGAGGAAGGGAGGTGGCGACGCACAGCAAGACGTGCAGCAGCATCGCGGGTCGCCCACTTGGAGCGAACGGCAGAGTCAGCATCAGCAGGCGGGGCAGGGACAGCGCCAGAGACAAAGTCAAAGAGAGAGACCTCATCTATCGCATCACACAGTAAGTACAGCTGCAGGTCTTCAATCCAGACGGCAAAGTCAATGGCCCTCCCCTCAGCGTCAAAAGTAAGAACATTGGGGGTGGCCATGGCAGCAGCTGAAAGTCTCACCGGGCTGGAAGAGTCGGGTAGGTCAGCAGCAGAGGAACACAGCTCAGGGACAGCAGCACGGCTCCCCAGGTGGCTCGCGTGGCTCAGGCGGCTCGGGCGGCTCGGGTGGCTCGGGCGGCTCGGGCGGCTCGGGCGGCTCGGGCGGCTCGGCGGCTCGGGCGGCTCGGGCGGCTCTGGGCGTCTCGCGCGGCTCGGGTGCGTAGGGGCTCACGGGCGGCGCGGGCTGCTGGGGCTGCTCACGTGCAGCAAGGCCGGGCTGCAGCAGGGCCGGTGGTGGGCTGTAGCAGGGCCGGTGGCGGGCTGTAGCAGGGCCGGCGGCGGGCTGTAGCAGGGCCGGCGGCGGGCTGTAGCAGGGGCCGGTGGCGGCTGTAGCAGGGCCGGTGGCGGGCTGTAGCAGGGCCGGTGGCGGGCTGTAGCAGGGGCCGGTGGCGGGCTGTAGCAGGGGCCGGTGCGGGCTGTAGAGGGGCCGACGAGGGGCCGAAGTGGGGCCTAGGCGGGCCGGCGGGCTGTAGGCGGGGCCGACGCGGCGGGCTGTAGCAGGGGCCGGTGGCGGGCCTAAGCGGGGCCAGCGCGGGGCCGACAGGGCGTAGGTGGGGCCGGCGCGGGGCCGAAGAGGGCCTAAGCGGGGCCGACGGAGCCTACGCGGGGCCGACACGGGGCCGAGACGGGCCCTGGGCGGGGCCTACGCGGGGCCGACGAGGGGTAAACGCGGGGTCGACGAGGGTACGCGGGGCCTACGCGGGGCCGACGAGTGGTACGCGGGGCCTACGCGGGGCTACGTGGGGCCGACGAGGTATGCGGGGCCTACGCGGGGCCGACGAGGGGTACGCGGGGCCGAACGAGGGGTACGCGGGGCCGACGAGGGTACGTGGGGCCTACGCGGGGCCGACGAGGGGTACGCGGGCCGACGAGGGCCTAAGCGGGGCCGACGAGGGGCCTAAGCGGGGCCGACGAGGGCCTAAGCGGGCCGCCGCGGGGCCTAAGCGGGCCCGACGAGGGCCTAAGCGGGGGCCGACGAGGGGGCCTAAGCGGGAGCACGACGGGAGGGGCGACTCGGAGGGTCGCTAAAAAAAATGCGCGCCTCGGGCGCGCTTCGGTGGGCCCTAGGAACAGGCCCTAGGAAGGGACCTGCTCTGATTCCATGAGAAAGTACGAACGAGAAGTGAATGACTATGAAGAAAGGAGTACAAATAGGAAACCCTAATTGGGTTGTACCCCCTATGGGATACCCCACTATAGCCTACAGAACAAGTAAGCTATAAGTTCTGACAGTGGCTAGCATGTGCAAAAATAGCAAGAACAAGGGCCTAGCGTGTTCAAAATAAAGATAAGGGCCTAGCATGTGCAAAATTGCAAGAACAAGGGCCTAGCGTGTGCAAA